CACTTCATCTTTTCCCCTGCCCCTACCACTAAGTCTTCTTGAGTACCACTTCCACCCTCCACATTTGTTACCACCACCCTAGCAATCACCATTAGCACCTCCATCACCAGCATCACTGCCTCTGCTACTATCAGCCCCACCTGTACCACGATTGCCCCCACCACCCTCTCCTCTACTGCTGTGCCAACACCACCATCACATTTATCACTTCACCATCAACCTCTACCTCTCTCTACAACAATACAGATAAATTTTTTCTGGTTGGCTCTCAATTTTACCCATGAAAGGATCTTGGGATGTTTGGTAAAAGCAGTTAAGAAGCAAGAACAGGGATGATGAACTTATCATTTTTTGATAAATATTTTCAGTTCTTTCACCTCTTCCCAAGGCTGAAAACAGTTTCATTTTCACAGATGCTCGGGATACACAGATGCTCAGGGAAGTTATTCTAAGGAACAACAGTAACACTTTCACTCCTTAAAATTAAGGGATGAGAAAGGAAGCAAGAAGACAGAAAAAGCGAATAAATATACTCCCTCTGTCAGAGCCACCAAGGGGTCAACATATGGGCCATGTGTAAAAATTCTGCTCTAAAATCCATCTGTTCTCGGGCAATTGAGTGAGTGTTTCCACATTGTCTGGGTAACTTAACCTCCCACAGGATACATGAAAAGTGAGGTGCAGGCACTTTGTGCTAAGGCCTGTTGTGTGATTCTTTCTAAAGCATATTTTCTTTGATGATTCAATTTGTCCAGCCTCAGCTCTTATGCAGTCAGCTCCTTCAGGCTGAAAGGAGACATATTCCCCAGAGATGAGTCGGCTCTGGGTAATGTGCCACCTCAGGAAGTACATTAGAACTGTAATGATCGGGGCAGTCCAGGACACAGTGAAGGCTAAATCTTCTACCTCTCTCATCCAAGGCACTGGCAGAAGACCCTTCAGCAAAAGACCAGAGGGTGAAGGGTGACCCCAAATTCTGGTAACAGAGTCCTTTCCTTGGGTCTGACTCTCACTTCTAATGTCTACTATCCTTCTTCCACATCCTCTCTGAACCTCTACTTTCACCAACTTTCCCCAATCTCTGTGACACT